GTGAATTGTGCTGCAGAGGCTGTTCCCCAGCAGAAGCAGAGCCGATGGCCTCTAGCAGCGGAAGAAGGAAACTGCAGATCCCAGGCAAAATATTTGAGCTGCCTGCGGCTGTTCACTTGCGGAGCTAGTATCTGTTCTGGGCAATAACAAGGATGTAAGAGACTGCGGTCTCATGGCTTGTATTGTATGTGCAAATGTGGGAGAGTGCAAGGGGGGGTGGAACTAGCAGGCAGACAAGAAAGCACGATTCATCATTGTTAAAATACCTTGCTAAATTTAGGCCAGTAACTTGATTAATTGTAGATGCTCGGACTACGTTTTTGGAATCGTTACTACTTAGCAGCCATTGCTATTTATATTTTTACCTGAGCTATTCGAAGGACTGCTAACATGTTAGCTGGTAGCACAGTGAAAACCAAAACCACCGTAGCTATTTACAGGCCCGTCACAAATCTGTCCTTGGGGGACCCCCAGACCCCAAGTTTCTCCCCACTGTGCTGTCACTAGCCACAAGAAACAGACCCAGGTTGCCCTTGGATAGCTCCCTATCCCTGCAAGCCTCAGTTCCACTGCTCTTACATTTGCCTGGAATGATCTAGTTGGAGATGATCCTGCTTTGAGCAGGGGGTTGGACTAGATGACCTCCTGAGGTCCCTTCCAATCCTGACTTTCTCTGATTCTAGACTTTGCAGCTGCAGGCCGAGGTGACCGCCCCATCTCTGAGTTGAAAAGAAATGATAAGTCTACCCCTCCGGAGAGTCAGCTCAGAATGTACTTACCCAGAAGTCATCCGTTGCACAGTCAATCAGTAAGGAAACAAACAACAAAAGGATTTATAATAAAACCAGAACAAGCATAAGAAATCAGTAACCACGCTCAGGTTCAGACAGGAATATAAGAGTAAGCAAACAAAAGAAAATAGCAAAACATCGACCATTCTTACCATACAAGGTACACTGACGGATGTAGTCCTTAGTCAGCTTCACAGGTCTAAATGCAGTTCCTGCCTCTAGCCCTTCCTGTCAGGGCATCCTGCATCTCCCTGGCCACCTGCTCTTCCCAGCTCTTTGGCTGGGGGGGACTTTAGCTCCCCCCTTTATCTGGGAAGACTAAAGACAAAGCTATGCTTTGTAGGCACTACTCTTGCCAGTCTGACTTTTAACATAGGTCATCCCTTCATTTCTAAAGGGGGGGGGGGGGGAGGGGGGTCTTCTTTTCAAACGTAAACGTATCGTTGTCTGGCCAGACCCAGGCTTTGTGTGCCTCTCAGAACATCCACATGGAGGACTGGTCAACAATCCAAGTGAAATGCAAATTCTCAACCTTTGACTCTGTGTGTGAACATCCCCTTTTCTTACAGATAACTGTGAACACTATCTGGTCTTTTGTGTTTTCTATGGGTAGCTTTGAATGTTTTTATTACCGAATGAAACTGAGAAGCACCAGGGAAAGGAAGAGTGATGTAGGGAACGGGTAGAGAATTCAGAACAGTATATTATTGCTGCTTAAGCATTTGATTTTTGTGCGTCCCTTCTATTTAGGGAGAGACTATCAATTAACTCCTACATATGCAAATCAAAGAATCTGTTCAATCCTCAGAAAATAATGCATGTTAGCATATTTGTGGATTTTCTTATTAAGAAGCATCAAACTCTTCTTGGATGCTGTAACATTTGGAGTTTGAGAGAATAATTTAGCAGTGCAATCCACAATCCAATTTAAGAAATCTCAACAGCAGCAGCAGCTTAAACCAAATCTTGTTCTTTGCACTGTAGGTTGAAATACCCAAATAAAACAGCAGAAACCTGCAGAACAAACTAACCTTGATAGTACCTCAATAACTCAGTGAAAACTATCCCTGCTAATAAACTTGTTCTGAAACTTCCATTTGATCCTACAGTGAAGTAATCATTTTTAATTTATTACAACAGAGAATGTTGTCATGGATGACTAATGTGATAAATGCAATGCCCTAACTTCACTGCCTGATGAGACAAGTAATAAATAGAAAAATGTCTTGCCATCTGTAAACATGGCAAGAAAAATCAGAAGAACATGGGAAGAGTAAATAGAATACTGTGTACATTTAACATATTTGACAGTTAGCATTTAAAATAAAGTCTTAGGTTTAAGCCACTATACATCATCTGTCTTTCTGGATTAAATGTAGATTCTGAGATGGTAACAGCAGCAGGACTAAGAAATAAGTAAGTCTTGCAAAAGCAAAAGGGTTTCTGGCTTCAGTTTCTTGCCAGTTCCAGAAATAAAAGTCTTGACAATATTATGGATAGTGCAATGACAAAAACTGCAGATGTGTAGGATGTACATATTTAAGAATTAATATGTCAAAAGTTAAATTTCACCAATAACCTGAAACTAATAAAAATGCAACTAGGGAATTTAAGAATGAGCTTATTTTATTTATTTTACTGCTTTGGTAGTACAAAAGTCTTATACAAATCCATATTGTTAAAAATACATTTGATTTTCAAGATTAAGAAAAACTGATTCCATATAATTCCTTTAAAAACAAACAAACAAAATGATACTGTCTATATAGCTAAGAAAAATGCAATCAATTGTGTTAGATGCAATAAGATAGATAAAATTCACTAGAATTCACTCACATAACAATACACAAGTTGAGGTCCTGTATATATAAGGTCTTATGTACACCTTTAAGTAGTCATATATTTAACATGTTCTATGTATTGCTTGTGCGTCCACATTATATATAATAGCAGGCAATACGCACACCCACACATGCAGGCAATACACTGAACACGTTAAAAATATTATATATACATATGTGTGTGTGTGTGTGTGTGTGTGTGTGTGTGTCTGTGTGTGTAGTTTTTTTACATATTTCTATTGGACTCAAGTAGAAACTACATTTAAATTAAGTAAAAAAATAGCATTTATATTTAAATTAAACACATTTTCAAATCTGTTAGCATATTTACTTGCAGTATTAGACCACAAAAATATTACTAAAATGTGTTATCTGAACAAAATCTCAATTTGTAAAGCCTTTGGCACACACTACAACTGTGCATTTCCATTCTCAAAATAATCTAGAAACTCTTGACTTTGGTTGTGCATGACTTCCACTCAGTTTTTTTTCAAAAAATTATTTTATATTTAAGCATTGTCATATATATATAACCTTAAATTTCCTGTTTATCGTGTGTCTAATATCCTGGAAACTTGAAGTTAGTGACACTATTTAAATTCCTTCTGCACACAATTTATTACACCGTAGAGCAATTCATAAAAGGATCAAATGACATTTGAAAAAAAGAGACCAAAATATAAGGCATTAATCTACCCAGTTTAATCTACGTTTTAATACTTTAAGAATAACCTTGGAAGTCTGTTACATTTGAGTATTGGAAAAGACCATTTATACCAATCCAGAAAAATCAATTGTACTGAGATTGATGAATAAACTTTCAAGTAAGTCATGCTCAAATGACTCAAATTTGGGAGTCTCAATAACAAGAGCATAAAAACATCCATTTAAAAACTATTTAGAAATTATAAATGACCAATTTCTCTTGTAAGGTTTGCTTTCTAAGTATAAATGTAGTACTAATAAGTAGTGCTACACTGACAGCTCCAGACTTTATCTCCTGTCTACAGATCAAGACGACCAGGCAGCACTGCACACTTCCTTGTGAGCACCAATGTGCCTCAACCCTCACCTTTAAGTGAGCAACAGTAGAGAGGGGAAAGTTCTTTTGATATTGCACAAACTAATAATTTACATGGCTCAGGCTGATGAAGAAACTCAACCTTCAGAGCTAAAGGAGAAAGAAAAGGAGAGTACTTTGAATGAAAAAGATTGACAGAATTAAGTTTAAAATGTAAAACAAATTCAAAGTAGACAATGATTTTAAAAGTTTGTAAAGCAGATTAAACTGCTTAACAGTTGGTGTAACAGAGCACAATCCCCACTACCACATATACTGCTGCAATTTGGATATCTTGCCTTGTTAGGCACTCAAACAGAAGTATTGCTTTCAGTTTCCATTACGCAGCAAAAACATCTCCCAAAATATTGTAAAGTTCACAATTAACAAATTGTTTCTAAAATAAAGCAGTAATCATAGTACAAAAAAACCACCCAAAACACCAAGTGACAACACAACTGAAGTAACAGCCACTGGTGTTCTACTACCATTGTGTCACACACGTGAAGCTAGAAAACGACACGGACAATGTTCTGTATTAATGTTTTGGTAACAATGCATTAGGGCTATCTGTTTTCAAGGATGGCCTTAGTTAAGAACATGAGATGGCTCTCTCTGTTTGCCTGATGTTAAAAAGGATGTTTATGAATGTTAGATCAGCATAACAGTACGCTCTTGGAGGTAGGGGGAGTGGTGAGGACAGGGTGACGACTGGTAAAGTTACTCGTCTCAAGATAATGACTCAGGCTGCATACAGACATTTGGGGAGGTTAAATAGGGTTAAAAATGGCCACCCAATCTAATTTGGTTCACCCAGGTGCAGACCTTACACCTGAGTGAAAATTGTACAGAAGTTCAGGACAGTTAGATCAGTCTGAAAATGGCTGACCCGATACAAGTTAAACCTAACTTGAAGGTACACTCAGCTTAGATTGGGTTGGCTATTTTTAGACCAATCTAACCAACCCAAACTTCTGTACAGTTCCCAGTGCAGCCCACGGCTGGGAAAGCCAGCCATTGGCCCCAGCCCTAGGGCTACGCTTTTCCTACCCACTTCCTGACACCGGGCCCCTGGCCCCTGACAGACAACCCTCCCAGACTAGACTCCTCCCCCCCCCCCCCCCCCCCCAAGCCCAAAAAACCCCTGATCCTGCAAGTCGCTCCCACTGCCAGTTTTACTGGCATTCGTCAGTGCCAGGAGCCAAGCAAGTAAGTGGAGGTTGCTCATCTGGGCACTGGGGGGATAAAAATAGCCTCTGCTCCTAGGTG